ACAATGAATCAATTTCAATTCATTTTCTTTTATCTGAGAACTCTTACAAAAAGAAACTATATGACGCTTGCCAAACAAACAATGATTACATGAATCAAAAGATATACCTTTAGTCAAGGTAATAAGAGACTATCTTGCCAAAACCTATAACCTATTCTCACTCATGTGTACCAACCTCTTATGTCATAAGTTTGCTAAAGCATCATCCTCAACAACATTTATCTGGTTGCCATTCAATTGCATTCATATCTTATACATTGTATAATATAGTTTTTCCTTTGCAACTACCATAGATATTTTGACAAACTTTCACTGTCCATTTTTTTTTAACTTTCATATCCTTTCTTGTCAAGGACATTAATAGCAAGCAAGCTCATTCTCATATCTGGAATGTGTTTGATATCTCTCAAAGCCAACATACAACTCATACTAATTTGTTCAGCAATATCACCAATCCCAATAATCTACAACACCTTTTTGTTTTTCATCTTGGTGTAACCAAAATCTTTTGCTTTGTAAGTTATAAATAACTCTCTCTTAGGAACACAATGATATATTGTTCCTATGTCAACTATCCACTCAATGTCGGGATCACCAACATGATTACAATCATAATCTATACAAACCAAAGTAATTGAATCACTATCTCAATTTACTGTTACAACATTGCCACTATTTGAACTCTTGTCTTTTTTATTTTCTCGCTCTTGCTTCAAGATTTTATAGTATCACTTTATATGATCTGCTTTATGACAATGAAAATACTTCACTTTATCTTTGGACTTGGATCTATGTTTAGACTTACAACGACTTTTTGAGTCTGTCAATGTTTCTACCCCTATTTTCTATGACCAGAACTTGATTCTCAAGGTCTAAATCTTTTCGCCTTGCTTCTTCATTAAGCATATTATTCTTTATCATCTCCAATGTCACCTTGTAATCAGAAGCTGAATTAAAAATAATTACAACTAGAGTATTACAACTATCTAACAATGAACTCAAAAAAAATAATGCCTTCATTTTATCGTCCATCTTAAGCTCTATAGTAGTCATCTGATTATATACATCTTGAAAATCACTCAAGTACTCCATAATCGATCGCTCATCCCTATATTGTAAAGTTGTAAGCTTTTTAACAAGCATAACTTTATTCATACCTATTTTTCTATCATATAATGCTGTCAATTTTTTTTTAAATAGTGTAGGCATCTATCTCCTGCATTACATGATGAAACACACTGATATCAACCCATTTTCTAATTGTAGCTAGCATCTTTCTACCTAACTTTTTTCAATTTTCATCTTTTGTATTTGTTGGTTTAGCCGAATAAACTAATATTAGCTCATACAAATCTTTACAATATAAATGATCCTTCATCATAAGCTTCCAAATTGAATAATTTGATGCTGTCAATTTTATCATAAAACTCATATCACCTTTCATGATCTCAAATAAAATTTACTTCTATCTTGAGTTGCTTCTGTGTCAATGTTTTAAAATAACCTCACTCTGATATTACTTGTTGGGTCTAAAGCAATAAATATAACAACGCAGAAGTAATATATCGTAATAAACCTCAGCAATAGACAACAATCAATAATCAACAACACAAGAAAAATAAAACACACTAAGATTTACGTGAAAAACCCTTCAGTGTAGAAGAAAAAAATCACAAACCACTAGAAAAATTTTCACTATCAAATAATGAATATACAAAGTTTTTTTCTAGCTAAAATTAGAGCTAATCAATAACTAAAGAGATAATTGGAGAAATCTTACCAAATAGATAACTTAACAAATATACTTTGAATTTGTTTCTAAAGAGCTTCAAATCCGATCTTCACTATTTAAAATGTAAAATTTTGAATCATAAACTTGTTGATAAAATTATAACTCAATCAAATCACAAATCAACTTTTATTTAATAAACTCTCCATTTTTACTTTTTGCTTTATATTTTTGGCTTTTCTTCTTACTATTTAGCGCCTCACCTTTCACGCCAAAACTGCTCACTTTTCTTTTTATCGTAAGCCTCTCTTTATTGGTCAAAACTAAAGACTTTGAACCTTTTAATTAGCCAAAACCAATTGGGCTAGACCCCATATATTGCGTTCCGTTATTTTTCAATGGACGCTTGTTATGATTGTGAGTGTTTTGGGCTTTTCGTTTTTGTAGTGGACTGCTAGGACTTTTTTTTTTTTTTTTTGGATAAGCTAAATTTTCGTTTATCAAAAGAAGCAGGAAAACCTGCTAGAAGAGGTGACTGCTTGGACTTTTTGGTTCTTGAAAGATGCCATTGATCAAAACGTTAGGCTCTTAAAAGAAAAGAACTGCATTGGGCTATAAAAGAGAAAAAACTTACATTCACTCTAAGGAGCCAAATCAGATTTTTATGGGTCAATATATGGTGAATGTGAACTGCTCAATATAGAAATTATGCGATCATGTTATGAGATAGATGCGCTGAACTTGTAAAATTATTGTTCAAAATGTTCACTATATGGACTTTACCAATTTTTCTTTTTGTTAGAAGAAAAAATGTGAGGGAATATTTGTTGATATCAAGGGTAGAAGATCCTTTCTTAGCTTTTTAAGTAAAATTTTCTTTTAAACTAGCATGCTTATCATCTCATAATGGCAAATGTTAGAAATTTCAACTCTCCTGCTGTATGTGAAAACTGTTTATGTCGAGGCGAAACCAAAGTCTTGGGATGTACAGAATCTTAAAGAGATCAGTGAACAATATGGTGAGACTAAAAGGGTTAAAATATCTTAGAACTTTGGCAATAAAGGCAAGGATTTTGGGTTCATTTCTTTCACTACCCGGGAGAGTGCAGTAGCTTGTGTAGGAGGGATGAATAATTGCAGTTTGGAGGAAATGTCAAGGTAATTTCATTGGACGTCTCATACATTTTCTTTATCTCTTGCATTGTATCCCTTAGGGTCAATTTGTATAGCAGGTTAAAGCCGATATTGCTAGGCCCCTTATTGGAGGGCGCCTGCAAATGAGCTCTTGTGGAGAATTGAAACTTAATAAGAGGCATAGAAGCACTGGTTGGTCGAATATGAAAGGTGATGCCAGGTTTGAAGGGGCTGAAAAAGAGAGTGATATGGAAGCACAGACTGTTAAATACGCGTCTAAGATATAGAGGACTGAAGAGAAGGCAGCAGCAGTTGCAGATAAAAATAATCAGGATCCTTTGAATTCAAAGTGTAGCATAGAAGGTGAAAATATGAACAACAAAGCATTTCCCCTGAAGCTCATGATGCTGGAGCTGGACTGTCTGCCAAAGAATAGAAAGAGACGAAGGGCCGTATGTATACTAGGAGGCCATCAAAGAAACCAGAACGTAATTCTGTTCCGAATTGCATTTTGAGCTACTAAAAATAGATACAGAGGATCACTGAATAATTTAATCCGTCTTAATGCACAGGTAGTTCACAAGGTAGACCTAGTCGTTCTTCTAGAAATTCACAGGCAGAACTGGTGAGTATAACGGCCCAGGCAATCAAGGGCCTGTTCACGGGGCAAGTAGCATCACCAATCTTAGATATCCTCATCCTTCTCTTTTTAACCCCCATGAATCCTTACTCTCAATGTTTCTAGTTGTTTAATATATTTTTGTGAAAGCAACGGAGAACTCTACCTTTTGTTGACAAAAACACACATAATTGATCGCCACTTCCTCCGCCCCCCCTCCCCTGAATCATTGATAGTTATGTGGTTATGTATCCAATATCTGCACGTACATATGTAAGGAGGTAATTCTCATTGGATGTAGGGTTTCAACATGTACGCCCCGTCATTATCTCATTGGATGTGGGGTTTCAACATGTACGCCACTTCCAATTTCTGCTTTGGACCTTAAACATTTCTTGTGAAAAATGTCCTCATGTATTGTACTTATTTTTCAGATTTTTTAATGCATTTTGTGTTTTTTAAAGAGAAATTTTAAAGGGAAACACTGGTAGAATTATGGAAGTCGAGTAATGCCTTCAATAAGTACTTGAATGGTGGTTGAGCTTGTTTTGGTTTAGGATCATTTTAAGGTCTCTTTTGAAGACATTGATAGTACTCAGAAATTATGTTCTTTCTTGACCTATATTTGTGGTAACCAAATTATCTCCATTCTTAATGGAACTTGAAACTGCCATTTCTTTTATGTTGCTTTTCTGTTGTTGCCATATGGAATTCTTGCTATTGGTAGCTAATTATGGATGTGAAGTCCAGTTACCTTTTGCTGTCACTGTAGGATCAGCTTTTTCACTCCCCTATTTTCCAAACTACATAAGCTATGCTAGAAGTGAGGTGTCTTTCTCTCACTCACTCTCCCTACATTGTTTAAACTAATGACACCCTTAAGTCTTGCAGATGATACAATTTGTTATATTCCATAGCTCTCCTTCCATAAGAGAGAAAATTCCTTACTTTGACTAATCAATATCCATTCCTGTTGCATGCAGGCCAATGGTAGTGCTAGTGGGATATCATAAGGTTAGTGGAGCACACCGACCAACGCAAATACACCATTGAACATTCGCTTGAGGCGCGATTTCATTCTTTATTAACATATTGGTTTAGTCATTGAAAATCGAACTTATTTTCTACTTGTAAATACTGTGCATTTCGCTAGTGTTTATAGAAAGCCAATAATGATTTTGTTTCCTCATGCTTACCTCCTTGAACCCAAAATGTATCTAAAGAATATGATGTTATGTAAGTGAGAACTAAAAGTGGAAATAAATATCAATGTTTGTTCATCTTCAAAATCTCGATATGTTTTTCATATTTTAGGTGTTTTTATTTCATGGCCTGTCAACTAACCCTCAATGCCTCATCGGCCATTCAAAAAAGTATTCTTCTAAGAAGGATGTGCATGCTTTTGGTTTTTTGTTGAAATGAAAAAATAGCTAGTGAATGATGCATACTCAGTCATTGAGCATGGTTAAAGATTTGATTAAAAAAAAAAAAGTGGTTAAAGATAGTTAAAACAAATAAAAATAAAAATATAGCAGTTAAAACAAATAAAAATAAAAATATAGCATTCTCATCAAATTGTTAAATCTTCTTTACAGCCCTTACATCATCCAATCTTATTGCCTCACTGACCAAAGCACGGTATAACAACTCTAGCAAAAAGACCAACCTATTTGATTGTTTTCTCTTTAAATTCAAAACAACCGTTTTTGTATTATGATATTTATTCAACGTTTACTTGAGCACTAGTTGCCTCCATCAGCCCATTCCGTATCTGCTCACCGATATCCCTAACATGACCAGGTCCATGGGGAATAAAAACAGTAGTGTTATTTGAGGAGTTCCCAAGGTCCTTGATTGTATCAAAGTACTGTGTGATCATGATAAGATCCATCACTTCCTTGGCTGAGGTACCTTCCACCTTGTGCGAGAAATTTAAGATGTTCTCCCTCAAGCCATCTGTGATTGCCTGGCGCTGCCTGGCCACACCAACCCCGCCCAGGTATTTGGATTCAGCTTCAGCTTCTGCTCTTTTAACTTGAAGCACCTTCTCAGCTTCCCCTTTGTACACACTGGCAAGCTGAAGTCTTTGAGCTGTAATACAAAATCATTGCAAAGTTTATTCTTTGTTCAACTTTGGATGAATGACACTAAAGTGTATTCTGACTCAAGTTTACATGGTCAGTGAATTACTTGGCACTGTGCTCTAGTTTGCATCATTTACGATCACAGGGAGAGGAAAGAAGATGGACATGATTCTCACAGCAACTGGAGTTTAGGAAATAATTTCCCATCTTTAACAAATTTTTTTAATTTTTTATGTGCTTGTATTAAAAAAAGGAACCAAAAGAGATGACTCGACAAAGCAAGAACATTTTTATCAGTACATGTCATTACCAGCATTTATCTCATTCATTGCCTTGCGCACAGCAGCATCAGGTATAATGTCAACCATCAGTATGTGCTCAATGCTGTATCCGTATTCTCCCATCACCTGATACATGATTTCAGAATCTATATATGGCATGAAAAGCCTCATAAAAGATAGAGAGGAAGCACGTAGATTTAGAAAGGGAAACAAAAATTCAGATGGAAACACAACCACTCTAGTGCAATTAGATAGAAAAGTGTCATAATCTATCACATAGCATTCAAAATCTCATATTTTACAAAATAAAATTTTTGTCCCACCTCCTCATGCATTCATATTCTGTGAAAATGCAGGCCAAAGAGCAAGACAACAAAACAAACCTAATCCTTCCTTCGTATTATAAAGCGGAGTAAGTACAGTATTTCATTGACTGTATTTTTTGACACATCAGATTGAAAGAAACAACTAGACGACTGACATATCAATGGATCTTCTTTTGTTTACCAGCTCAACAGTTTCTAAACGAAAATTTGTCTCTTACGCACATGTCTTATGCACATAATTTAACCACACGTGAGTAATTTAGTACATTAGGGTAAATGGGAGAAAAAGAATGCCCTGTATTACCTTCTCAAGTTCCTCAAGAACAGCTTTAGCAACCTCACCCTTTTGTTCAAAGAGATCATCCAAATTCATTCTTGGAACTAGAGCTCGAACCACTACCACAAGAAATCCAATGCATTACTATAAAGAAATAAAACAAAGGGGAAGTTTTGTGTGTATGTGGGGGGGGGGAGATATCCATAAAATGAAAAGCATAACATATAGGTTGATAGCATAAAGGAAACCAAAGAAAATTACCATCAAACACATAAGCCTGGATCTGTTCTTTGGGATTTTGCAGCTCATAAAATGCATCATCAGCATGCGAATTCACCACTCGGTATTGAATGGAGCAAAGCAATTGCACAAACACATTGTCCTACAAAATGTAACATTATCATATTCATACTCACTTATCTCCTTCTGATAGAGCAACAAAATCAATGTAAATATTATTGAATTATAATTAACAATAATTACGAAATTCAATATTTTTTATGCCCATAACCATTTCTTTTTCTTCCCCACAGGAAATTGAAACTGTCAACAATATTGTGCGATATCTCACCAACAAAACAAATAGTAAAATAAACTAATCAAACACAAAAAATTATGATCAATTGAATTCAATTGTACTAGCTAGGCACTTATTTATGTAGGGGTTAAAAGTATCAGGTGTCGATTGGAATAACTGGTGAATTAGTAATTACCTTGGTTTTGGTTTCGATGCGGACATCGAGGGAGGAGATTCTTGTGGAGAGGACGCCGGCGAGCCACTGACCGGCGAAGGGGTTAAATAAGTGAAGGCCAGGTTCCGCTAACTTCTCGAAACGGCCCCACCTCTCCACCACGCCGACACTCGCCTGTTCGACGCATGCACAAAATATGCAAGACGTATTCCCCATTTTTCTCAATCGATAAAAACTGAAACGTTTATAAAATCAAAAATCAAAAATCAAATCAAATCAAAGGAGGAGGAAATCTCCCGTTTTTACTTGAAACACCAGCATTTCTAGGTTGGAGATAAGCGGGGAGATTCGGTGTGTACGGACTATGGTAAGGATTTGGGTTTTTGTCATCTTGGTGTCACCGGATGGTGGTGATGATGAAGTGATTTTTATTTTTAAAAAAGTTGTTTGGATTGCAGTTGAGAGAGACCGTAATTGATATGCGACGTAGGGGATCATTTCCTGTTGCCACGCACCCCAGTTCCTGATACGTGGAGTACCAATTGCGGCTTTGTTTCTCTTTGTTTATTAAGAAAAATGTGATTCTAATTTCTTTTAATTATTTATTTGTTGACTAATTCAAATAATGTTTCATTTGAAGCCCATTGGTGGGTTATCGCACAAACTTTAATTATAAAACGGATTTTTTGATGCCATAAAAATATTTTAATCCAACTCCAAATAGAGCTAACTAAATAGATAAGACTTGGGAGTAAAAAACAATAATATCATGTCGTTTTAGAAGAATAATTTTTTGTGTAAGAACATTCTAATTTTTTTCCTTGGCCGAAGAGAACAGAACCTAAGTATGCATGAAGAATTATTCAATTTGACCTATGGTCGAGAATTTATATGATGCCTAATGTTTCACCGTTTTTCAGATGAAAAAGATGCTTCAAATCTTCTCATGAGCCTTTCGTCTACAAGGATATATATATATAGATTAAAGAGAGGCTAGATGTAGTTGATTTTACCACAAAGAACAAGCTGAGATTTTGCTGGCTTCTGCTTAATTTGGGCTTTTGATGGATTATTAGAGAACACGCTCTTTAGCACAAATGAGCAAATTTTTTCATAGGAGAAAGCCCGAATTACTTTGTAGAACTTACAAAGATTCAATCGTAAAACGTGCAGAAAAAATTGATTTACTTTTAGAACTTATAAGAGTCTAATTATAAAATAATATTCTGGTGAAGTGAAAGTCTCTCTCATCATCTTTTAAATGAATCTTTATATATGGTCACAAAAACGAACTCAATAAGCTCAACTATCATCAAGTCATCGGGGAAAAGAAATCAGAATACAAAATGAAGATCTTTTCACCAGGAGAAAAAAAAAAAAAAAAAAACCTTAAGACTACTAGTCTGCAAAACACACAAGCCTATAGTGATTCTTTAATCTTCATAGCTCATACTTGACTTCGGAGATGGCAGTAATTGCAGCCTCAAAGATCAACGAGTCATTTACAACGAAGCCTTTTGATATGCCTTCAAAATCCTTCAATGAGATAAAATTTATAAAACCCCAGCCACTGACTGAATCACTCAGCCAAATATCGTCTGCACATAACAATATTTGAGTCAAAATTACAAATATTTTGTTAACCGTGTCAATCATAAAAGTTGAAAGTTAACTTCAAATTTTAGGAAAAAAAAATCCTCGTAAATATTACAGTTTCCAGATTGAAAAGTTTTATTTCTCTACCTGACTTTCTCCAGTTAGATTCTTGATTGACAGCTTAAATTCTACATATACTTTCCTCCGAGGATTAATACCGGCACTGCTATGTAATGTCAGAAAGAATGACACGCTTCCCTTGGCCCTTCTATCTCCTTTGGGATAAACAGGCAACTTCATGCATAGAGGAGGAATTATCAAAGGAACTCGTTGAGTGAGCAGCTATGGAACTTTTATGTACTTTACTAATTACCATTGACATTGACAAGCAGTGAATACTTCTGAATTATAGGACATTTTATTTTACAATATCTTAAATAATTCTTTTAAATAATTTTTTATTTATAAAAATATTATTAAAAAAATATCTTAAATAATTTTTTTATAAATAAATTAAAGGTTCAAATTTTTATTTTTCTATGATATAAAAAATGACAAATACATTAATTGATTTTTTTTAATAATTTTTTACTAATTTTTGTTATTAAAAAAAATGTCAAACGTCTCAATAAATGATATTTTATAAATAAAAACAATAATCAAATAAAGTATTTTTTTTTTATTACTAAAAATATCATTTATCATCTGAATATTTATTATTAATAAAAATTAATGAAAAGTTGTCATTATATATATTAAAATAATTATGATAATTATATAAAAATAAATATACATAGATTTTTAAAATCAAATAAATGAATCTGATTACAAAATACTTTAAAAATGATAAAAAAACCTTAGATATCGTATTTTTTCAAACATTACACTTTTTTCGATATATAAAATTTTACAAACCAAACGTCTCTCTGAGAGAAATTCTCAAGTTCCCATGTGAAGATACCATTTTTAGGTTCCTTCACAGAAAACGCGCAAACAATCTTCCACAAGGTAACCACGGGAGGTAGCGGTGAAGGCGTCGAGAGGTAGTAACCGAGGACAACCATACTCAGTATTCAAGCCATGAAAGCGGCTCATCCTCCCATCTGTAATCATGTAACATAGAAGCAATATAAATTAATCACATGAGAATATAATTTACAGAGAGGATACAAAGTTCTTTTACTCAAATTCCTTATAGATACAAACTTAGTCTTAGATAGGAAAGGCGCCTCGGATAACTAGGTAATTGTCGTGCACATGATTGAACACAAAAAACGTGTAGGTCACATTAACCTCCCATCCAGGGGTACGGGGATTTTGTCTGACATTACCGAGAAGGAAGATATATGACCATTTCCATTCCTCTTTTGATTTCCGTAAGGGTAGGACACCAGTTTCCTGCTTACGTAAAGTTAATAGAATTTTAGTAGCATTGAAAAAGATATCTCGACTTCTTTTGATAACGATGCATTCAAATACATATTATAAATTTGTAAATTTTAATTATTACATTAAACATTTTATTATATTAACTAATATGTTATCATCACTAATATAATTAGTTTCAAATAATTATATATGATGGATAAATACTTTTCGATATCACATTAATTAATAAATTTATAATTTATGTAATATATTAATAAATTTTAAATTTAAATATTATATTAAATATTTTATTATAATTTAAAAATTATTGATGATATTATCTATTATATATATTACGAAAGTAAAATTAAAGTATTATAGTATATTTTTAATTTGATGTAAATGTAAATTTCTTAATTTGACTGTTTTTACTTTCAGAAATTAAAGGGAAAATGCAATAGAACTGATAAGAAGAAAACAGAACAGTAAAAAAAAAAAGACAAAAGGTTGTCTTGAAAATTCAAACCCACCATTTGTAACCATCGGCTTCAAAATCGGCTAATTCATACTTCTGGATCATCAGGTTTTGCTTTTTGCAGTGTCTCTGATAATTGAGAGAACGCTTTAATTTTCAATGTGTGCAGTGAACAGCCGGTGTAGCTGGCACTGATCTTGGAACTTCTGTGTGACATGTTTTCAACCCAAAAAGGAAAAAAAAAAGTGTTTTAGACTTGATAACCGTCAATTTTGTTTCAACGTCGACAAGTTGAAAGACGGAATATTGCATATAATCATGTAAAAATAATAAAATAACTCGTATCCGATTTTGAACCGATGATTCAGTAGGATTGAATTTTTTTAAATCGGAAATCAGGTCCATTTTTTGTTAGACTCGAGTTTTAGTTGGCACTCCTCCAACTGGACCAGCACACACATATATATATATATATATATATATAATTAAATAAATTATAATAATAAAATTATTATTTAATATTTTAATTTAAGATATTAATTTAATAAAAATATTATATTTATGTATAATAAAAATATAATTTATATTAAAAATTATAAATATTATAATAAATTAAAGTTATTAAATTAATTTTAGTTTGATTGCCGTTTATGGATCAAATTAATATTTTAATATTAAATTAGGTTAAATCAAATTTGAGTATATATTAAAATATTCATTCAAGAAAAATCCACTCCAACTTAATTCTATTTCTATTAAGGTTGGTAGTCCAATATTATATCGAGGATTTTAATTCGATTCGGTTTAATTAAATATTTTTTTTTAAATTAAGTTTTGAATCAAATCAAATAATTATTAAAAAAAATTGAAATTAAATTTTAAACAAATTCGATCTGATCTGATATATATATATATACATATTTATTTATTTATTTTTTAATTATTTTTAAATTTTTTAATTTTATAATTATATATTTATATAATTTTTATCTTGGATTAAGATGGTTTATATCTCCTTTCCCTCTTTTTATCTCCATCCCCCATAAAATCCCTCTGATCCTTTCCCTAGTTCCTCTCATAGTTCCCAAGAAAATGAGGGAAAAGTTTGGCCTAAAAATGAATGAAGGAAACGTAAAATATTAAAGAGAAATATATGGTAACAGAGAGGTAGAGTTATTTTACCTGAAGAAGCGATCTCATGATCCAGTTGATGTGGGAAAACAGGTGGAGAAGAGAACCCTTTCTTCCATCTCTATTTCTACAATTTATTTTAAAATAATAATAATGACCAACCGTCCACCTCCGTCCAGAGGCGGTAATGTTGTAAAATTTTTTATTTTTTTTTTACTTTTTCACACACAGGCAGCGTCATAATGATTCTAAGGCCTTAAACCGATTGAACGGTCAAGATCGAATCACATCAGATTTCACCAAAACTTTCAAAAACAAAAAAGTTTCTCCGAAGATGATCATATGGTGCAAATTAAATCCTTTTTCTTTTTCTTTTATGAGAATTAATTCTGAAAAATTATCAAATATATTCACATGAAAATTTTTATACTCCATATTAGCAAGATGACACATATCATATATTAAAAAATAAGATATGTATTTTAATTCTATATTATTTATAAAAATAATTTTTTAATCCTATTTGTAAATTAAAAAAATTCATTTACAGTGTATTAAATAATATATATGTTCCTTTTTATTACAAGAAATCAAAAGGGATTTAGATGTTAATAGCTCTCTAGGTTTGTTGTGGACCGGATCTGTTGTGGACTGGATATTTGTTCGGTTTTTAATTTTCTATTTGGATTTGGGTCTTGTTTTTATATGAATAATTTTTTTCTAATAATTTTATAAACAAAATGTTAAAGTTATCTCAAATACATGAGATTGTTCCATTTGAGAAATTTTTAGCTAACTATGATGTGCCATAAATGAGGGTAAATTTCAGTCACCTAATTTATATTTAAATCTTATTTTGATCACTGAACTTTAATTTACTCATCCAAATCATTCAAGTTTGTTAAGTATATCAATAATATTTCATGCAAATTTGATAGAAAACTGCCATGATTGTCATGCCATCAACCATATCATCTACTATATTATCTAAACTAAACTCATAAAATTTCATAACAGGTCATCAAGCTTTCACCCAATTTTTAAATAAATCACTAAATTTTAATTTGTCACTACAAGATCACTAAAATTTGTTAAATATATCAAATTTGATTATTCTAATAAATTTCATCCAAAATAAAATTAAATAAAATCTAAATATTTATTCAATTAAATAACATCTTTTATGTAATCAAAAATCATCTCATATCTCATAGAAAATCAAAAGAAAAAATATTAAGTAAATCTTTAGCAAATAGGTCTTTAATAAATATTTATTTTTTTAAGTATTATTATTTTTATTTAAATTAAAAGAGCATAAATATTTATATAAAAAGTCTCTACATTTTAATTACGTTGTGGGCTATAATGCTTTTTCCAAAGGTTCATGGTGTTCCGGTGGATTG